CAAAAAAAGAAAATCGAATCAAACTCTATACGATTGCTAAGCTAAAGGAGAAAAAACTTGGGAAGAGATGTAAGGTATACAATTGGCTATGATGTTGAAACATTGAACTGTTGCTTAATAATTTTTGTCGTTTAAATTTTGAAACCCATGAGTCCCTATATATAACATGGTTGATTATCAAAAAATAAACGATCGAAAACTATACTGTCTTGAAAGTTTAAAAAAGTTTCGTCATTGAGAAACGTAGATGTGAGAGTCTGAAAGAATCTTCGCTCCTAAAACGTCCACAAGTGCAACCATAACCGCATTCGCATCTGCCCTTCGGACAAGAGACATATGCCCTAATGCCAAGAGATAAAGATCGTCTGATCGAGAATCAATCAGTAGAACACAAATTTCCAATAAGATGAAGGCGTTTTAATATATCTTTTTTCGTTCATTGTCTTAGTTCTATTGAGAAATAAGCGTAGCGCTTAAAATTTGCAATTATGAGTCGATTGGTTCCTTTATAGGCTAACTACTGAAATTGAATATTTGCTAGTACCATTCTATGTACCAATATTGCATCACTGTTGGTATTGCTTGAGCCTAATCGAATTGTCATGGTAAAAACATCAATTAACAAATCGAAATTATTCTGGTCCGTCAATTAGATTTTATGGATTTGGTCTGCATTATACAATTTGAAACTTCATAACTGTTACTCGCATCCTCAGTAGAGAGACTTATTTAAAAAAAACTTGTCGGTGGTGATCTAGAAAATCCAAAATATCGATTAGCGTTTCAGCGTTCGTTGTCAAGGGCATCTATTCTACTTGATGGTCCAAAGTTTTTGCTTCACTCGAGGTTTTGCTCTTGTCAGCAAATCGATAAAAAATGAAGTTCATCTATTCTAGTCTATCCTTGAACTCCTAATCATAGATGTTTTTCTCAAATAATCTTTGTTTTTTTGGTCGTCACATTTGGACGACATGATTCATGAAAACTTCGTGCTGTTAATTGCATTCGTGGTGATGAGTCATGTTTACATTAAATACAATGAAGTCATAGAATATGATTCAAAAATGTAAACAACATTCTTGGCTGGTCATGTTGAGTCATACAAGTCTTAAAGTTCAGTAACGTATCATTGGATGTCACCATATCCGAGGCATTTGTTTTCTTGTTAATCCATTGTATGAATATTGTTCTTGATGGAGATTCAGACAACAAAACGAGTTCATTGGTCAAATGTGGTAAATGTTGGTGTTTTCATTGACAACATAGACAAATGTATTGATCGATGAAGAAATCAAATCAGTTCAATATATTAACCGTTGTGCTGTTATTGAATTGAATGCGTATCTATGACTGGGTGATTATGAGAAGAATCAAAAGATTCACTGAAATCAAAATCTAAACGAGGCAATGTTGATATCATTCTAGCAAAGATCCGATCAAACGACATCGGAAAGAATTATGGATAAAATAAATTCGCTCGTTGAGTCTTCTCCAATATTTGTCAGTATATTACTCGAAATAAAACTGTCGTCAGAAATCACTAGATACTTTTTTTTTAACAATTGAAATACCGTTCCATCGACTCGTTAATCGAATCCAAGCTACGAAGACTCAACATTTTCAACTAGATGGTTTCCTTGAAAGCTAAAGTTCAAAAAATGCATGCTTTCACTTATCTGATGAAACGGTGACTCTAAAGGTTGTGAGGACGTCTCTAGAGTTTGATAAAAAAAATTTATCACAGATTTGTAATAGAGAGATTCTCAATGAATCACTTCAATCAACGCATTTTATAGTTCATATGATAGAATTTTAAAGAATCATGATTGATATGATTTAAAATCAATAGTATCTAAATTCATATGAACCTGTTCGACTATTCCGGACAAGTATACGATTCAAATAACAAAAGAAATCACTATCGAACAAAGTTGATCAATTAGAACTAGTTGATATCAGTGGTACAAAATGTCAATCTGAATATAATACATAATGCAGTATGCATGATACCTAGAGCTGTTAAAAATCGTCAATAGCTTATAGATATTGGTGAAAACTGATATGCAGAATATCAAATGATTTGTTACGGCATCGATATAATCATTGTATTGACATTTCAAAACCGACATATACTTTGTCTTGTGCAAAGTACAATATTTTTTGACCTTTGTAAGTACCGTCAATATTGATTGTTTTCATCTGTAAGCACTGGCTGGGTGTGGGTGTAAGTATAGATGAAGAGAATAGCCACCCCCACACCTCACATCCACACCCACACCCACACCCTTTGTTCATAATCTGACTCGTGTAGCGATGAAATGTACAACAGAAGATCTGGATCTTGTAGCGAATCTTGCATCTAAATTTTTTAAGATTTATTTTTGTATCATGCCAGCCAGAAGGACGCTCAAGTAAGGAAAACATGGCAATATCGAAATCTTCTGGATGTATGCATGTTTGGTATACATATTTTCGTTTAAGATACATAATTTTAATCTATGTGATAGATTGAATTCCCTATCTTTATGTACTCAATTCTGTTCCGCTGTCTAATTTCATTTTCAAAATAAATTATAGTATTGAATAGACCAAATAAAGTTCTACCATTTGATAAAAATTTCGATTTCAAATGAGCTGTTCTCTGTTGAGAAATTTAAAAAATATAACACGGTCAAAAATAACCTTGCTTGCTTTTGAACTTATATCCTTGGAACATCGCCTATTGCCATTGCAAACATTTTTTACTTAAACAACCATAAGCAAATGAAATCTGGAAATATTTTCGAGATTGCACTTTTTTTAAAAGTCAAGTCGATTCTATACGATTTTATGCTTAAGATTTTAGTTAGACGATACAATTAGGTGAGAACCAAAATAGGTCTAAATATGTGTAGATCTAGAAAGTATCCAAATGCATTTAAGATATCGACTATGTCAAAACTAGACTTCTGCGTGACCACCATTTTTCAGTCACATCACGTCACGGTCACGAGCTGCCTGGTCACGGTCACGTTCATAGTCACGGAGTTTTTTCGAAACTAGTCACGGTCACGTCACGGTCACGGAAGTTTTGGTTTACTAACTGGATTTTTGTGCTACAAAATCAAGATTTATATTGATTTCGCAGATTTTCTCTGTAATAAAACGCAGAAAACACGTAAATCAATTAAACTCTTGATTTTTTTTCACAAAAAATAGATTTCTAATCTCAAAATTTTTCACCATTAAGTCACGATCACGAGCTATTTGGTCACGATCATGAGCTATTTGGTCACGGTCACGATCCCAGTCACGACAATTTTTCGAAAACTAGTCACGGTCACGGTCATGAGAGGCCGTGACCGTGACCGGGACCGTGACCATTTTGCAGAGGTCTAGTCAAAGCATTCAACAAACTAGACGCGTTAGAATGTTTATAGAAAGCATGAGTGTAAGACTAAAGTCAGTTAAAATTAAGTTCAAGTTCATTGCCAGTAAATGAGTCCATAGATAAGTGGACATTCACCGAACAAAAATCATAATGTTTAACAGTTTTAATTGTTTACAATGCCCAATTTCATCGGAAATAAAAACAAGTTTTAACGAAACTAGAGAAAAAGTCAGTATATAATTCAAGGATTGCAAAAGCAGCTCGTTGAATGCGACAAAGATCAATCGTCAGCAGCATATTTACTGCGGAAATATTGTTGCCCACTTCCATTAATAAAAGTTCCCAATTAATCAAATTGGAAACCTACTTTATCACAGTTCAACTTCTTTTTCATTTTCATATAATTAACAACCAATATTTATGAAGTATAATAAGAATCTCGGTGCCCATCTTATAATCTTGAGAAAATTTTTTTAAATATTAGATTTTCTTCTCATTTTAGATTTATGATAATATTTATCAATACTTTTAAAGAAAATCACAAGTTTCTCAGAAATAAAACTTAAATTAGAAATACATTTTTCTTATATGATAATTATGCATTTTCCTATTAAATATATAATGATGATCTGATTTCCATGCACGAACTTTATTCTGTTACATGTAGACGTATAATACTGATATTCTACAAAACATAGTAATTAATATGCACTAACATTTTTCTATTGAAACATTAATTGTGTCACTAACAGCAGATGCATTGAAATATATATCACTCAACGTAGAAACTAATGGCGCAATCCGAAAGAATTTATTGAAGGAGCGCTTAGTCTCTGTTTGAAAATGAAAATTAGGCATTTTCTTTGCCTATAATAAAGGATCATCTCATTTATAGAGAAAGCGCAAAGGTTTCTTGAGGGAACTGAACCATTTTCAGCCACCTCTTGGCTCCACTATAAGTAAAAACTTACACTATGGAAACAAAAGTAAAACAATTTTGCTATGACAAAAATAGTTTCAAATAATATATTTCTTCTACATTAATAGAGTAGCGGATAAGGAAAATGTCATTCAAAATTTTTTCAAAATATGAAAATAAAATATGAGCAAAGATTGATCGTTTACTGCTTTTTAGCGTCCTCTTTTGTCTTTTTTCTTGAATGAATAAATCGAAAAAGAAGAAAAAAAAAAACGTAGCTGATAGGACAAAGCAAAAAAAAATAGGCTACATCTTATCTTGTGTTTCTTTCGAATGAATTTTTAGTGGTTCCAGGTTCATTTCTTTTATCATATCTAATAAAAAAAAAGGGTTGAAATTTTCTTTTTCTTTTATCATTTTTGCATTTAGCTTTTAGTATTTTATAAAACATTCACTCAAACGCATAGATACATTTTAGTGATGTCTTGTATTTATTTATTCATCCTAAGTCAGGTGCATCAAACTATTTTAATCGAGGGTAGAATGACGAAGCAAAAGTATGTTTCTTTTTTTTACTTTGACCTAGCACAAATAGCGATAAGATTAAGTCCAGTCTATAAAAAGAGAAAAAAGGTGTGCTCATACTTGCACTTCTATCTATTTCATATCGTTCGATATTTGTTTTTCCAACTATTTTAGATCTATTTCATAATGGCTAATTCACAGCAATCTGATTCAAAAGAATGCTGTCCATCCGATGATCAAATACTTGATTATAAAAAATCGCATGTAAGAGATTATTTTATGTTGTCTACAGTAATAATATTTTATATTCACAGAAAACTGAACAATTAACAACTGGTTATGGTCGTCCACTAGGCGAACGATCGACTGTTGTTACCGTTGGTCCACGAGGACCATTGTTGCTTTCTGATTTTCCTTATATTGAAGACGTTCAACGATTTGATCGTGAACGAATACCTGAACGAGTCGTTCATGCCAAAGGGTTAGTTTTACTAAATATAAAGAAAATATTTAACTGTTTTAATATTTCATAGTGGTGGTGCATTTGGTGTATTTGAAGCAACTGATGATATATCGGATATTTGCAAAGCTAAAGTATTCAAAAAAGGATCAAAAACACGTGTGCTTGTACGCTTTTCAACTGTTGGTACGCATCCAACTCATTGATTACATGTGTTAGATAATATGTGGTCTATTTTTTTGTTTCTAGCTGGTGAAAGTGGCTCAGCTGATACAGTTCGTGATCCACGAGGTTTTGCTATTAAAATGTATACTGATGAAGGTGAATAGTCATTTAAGAAAAAAACTAAATTTATACGTTTCTTATATTTTCTTTAGGTATTTGGGATTTAGTTGGTAATAATACACCGATATTTTTTGTTCGTGATCCATTTCTAGTATGTAAATTAATATTTACTTGATAATATAGACTTGTTGTTTTTATTAATTAGTTCCAAATGTTTATTCATTCTCAAAAACGAAATCCACAAACACATTTGAAAGATCCTAATATGGTTTGGGATTTTTTTTCCAATCATCCAATGGCTACACATCAAGTACATTTCATATATTTCTATATAAAATGAATTTTTAAAAGTCAAGTTTTTTGTTTTGTTTAGTTTATGTTTCTTTATTCTGATCGTGGAATACCAGATGGTTTTCGTCACATGCATGGCTATAGTTCGCATACATTTAAAATGGTTAATGATAAAAATGAATTTGTTTGGGTTAAATTTCATATTCGAGTAAATTCGTTGTTTTTATTTACTTTTTTTAATCTTTCAAATAAATTCATTCTTTAGACTGATCAAGGTATTAGAAATGTCGATCCAACAAAAGCAAAAATTTTAGCTGGTGAACAACCTGATTATGCATTATCTGATCTTTATAATGCAATTGCTCGAAAAGAATATCCAAGTTGGACATTTTATGTTCAAGTATTTAATATCGAATCAAACGAAAGAATACGTTCGAATTGTTTTTGTAATTAATTTTTCAGGTTGTTACACATGATCAAGCAAAAAATCTTCCATATAATCCATTTGATTTAACAAAAGTATTTTCACAAAAAGATTTTCCATTACGTCGTATTGGTAAAATGACATTGAATGAAAATCCTGAAAATTATTTTGCACAAATTGAACAAGCTGCTTTTTCACCAGCACATATGCCACCGGGAATTGAAGCATCACCAGATAAAATGTTACAAGTATGAAGAAAAAACAATCAAAATTCAATTGCCTTCTTTTTTTTGTTTTTGTAAAATTTGGATATGTTTTAGGGTCGACTTTTTTCATATGCTGATACACATCTTCATCGTGTTGGAACAAATCATCTTCTCATTCCAGTTAATAATCCTGAAACAAATAAAAATGTTAAAGTTTGTACTTATCAACGTGATGGTGCAATGCAAGCATGCAATAATCAAGGTTAGTTTTATTTATTTCTTTAACAAAAAAAACAAACAAAAAGAATTAATTTTCGATACTTAGATGGTGCTCCAAATTATTATCGAAATTCATTTAATGGTCCAGACGTAATGAATCGTGAGAAACACATTGAACATGCAACATTTGAATCAGGCATGGCAACACGATATGACGCAAGTGAAGATGATAACTTTTCTCAACCACGAGTTTTCTATCGAGTAAGATAAATGACCAAATGAGAAAAAATTGTGTGAAGTGATTTACTACGTTTTTGAGTCTATATTTTCACCATTATCCAGCGATTTTTTCCCTTCGATGGATTTAAAATTTTCTCAAAAGATTGATCGAATTGAAAATAGAATGTTTTCAAAATTTCAATAAAAATAAACATGACCCTTTTGAGATATACAGCCTATAAAAATCTTAAGCATTGAGTTTTTCCTTTGGCAGCTGATTGAATTTTTAAAAGTTTAATGTCTCGAGACACACACAATCAGTTTTGTAACTTTCCGAATATTCTAGTTTTGATTAGATCTATCTATCAAGAAATTTGTACTTCATACCGATTTAGTTCAATTTTTTTTTGAAAAACACGCTTCAAAGGCGAAAATAATTAGATGCTATGAATCCGAGTTATTGCACAAGAGTTCTAGTCTGAATGGTAGATATATAGACTCAAAATGATGAATGACCTTGAACGATTCTTTCGTAAGAAAAAGTCAAAAAGGATTTTTATTTCATTTATACTTTTCTTTTTAGAACGTATTAGATGATCGTGGTCGTGCTCATTTAATTGATAATATTGCTGAACATTTACAACAATGTACGGATAAAGAAATAATTCGTCGTTCGGTTGCTATATTTGCTAATGTTGATGATGATTTTGGAAGACGATTAGCCGAAAAACTTCATATTGATGTACCGGATAAAGTATATTTGTTCTTTTTTTGAATGTCTCATCGAATTCTAATATTTGACTTCTTATAGACGTCAACGGCATCAAGTGTTAGATCGAAATATTAAACTTTTACCTGCGATCAAAGAATAACATTGAATTTTTCTCTTCTTAATCAGCAACCATTAGATTTTTTAGTTTTGATTGATTTTGTTTTTTTAATTATATGAAAATGTACCAAAAAAAAATTTAGATCATGTTTTTTCATCATCATCATCACATTTTTAAAATAAAACATATAATGATAATGGATCGGTTTTGATTAACAAATTTATACTACGTCAAGCGAAATGATTTATTAGTTAGAATAATTGTCTTGAAAAATAAATATCTACGTCAGTATCATAATAACTGTTAAAATATGATTCTGTTAGAACTAGACTATAAAAAAAAACCTTTATTCAATTTCTACTGTAAATAATTCTATGTTAAAAGAACTACACTTGTAAAATTCTTAGACCGAAAAATGAATTATTCAACGTACTATTGAAAATATTTATTTTTAGTCTTTCTCTGCCTCTTATTGTAAAAGAGTCAGTAACTTATAAGTTTATCTATTACGTTCAAGCGATATAAAGATCATTGAAAAAGAATTCTTCTTTATAATAAAATTGTCGGTCACAACTAATTAGAACCATGAATATTTAGAGAGGCGGATGTTGTCAAGAATAGCTTTGAAAAGAAAATTGAATCTACCACTATTCTTTATAAGTGTTCAGAACGCAAATCTATACCTCAAAAGATATTTTCATGGTATATATCATTGTTTTTTAATTATAGTAATCAAAGTATTGTCATTAGAGATTGCACTTTTCAAATAAAAGTTGAACTTGTTTAAGACGTATTTCTATGTGTTCTTTTTAAAAATAGTTTTAAAATACATAAAACACTTTTTCATTCAATTACTCAGAATGCTTTCGTTAGGATTGTTAAAAGAAATGATGATCATTAATAAAATTATGCCTTCAAAAAAACTTAGCTTTCACAACCTATGGTTTGACAGATACGATTAATCATGAATAGTTCTTTACTTAGAGATAAGCTAATATTTGTCGCATTTCACAATGTTGAAATATTATTAGTTATTTAAATAGTTGTCACTTGCAAAAATCATATTCATCATTGCTATTTTATTGACTTACTTTTTATTGTGGGTACAATCTTGATAATACTTCGTCAGACATATTCAAATAATGAGTTTTATATAATTATTGAACTTATAGAAATATTGTTTATTAGAAAAAATCATTATATTTTTAAAATTTGTCTAGTTTATCTTTCGTTTGTTTTGTATAAATAAAGTGAGTGTTTATTATATAATATGAATTTTACATTTACCCATTTCATCCTTCACTTTTGATACAACATGGAGGTAAACTGTCAACTTTCGTTTGACAATAGAAAGAGAAGTTTTGGATTCATAGAAATAGCACCGGAAAACATTTGTTTATAACGGAATTTAAATAAACGAGAAAAAATAATTGCTATCATCTTTGCTTATTTTCTTATGATTTAAATTGCTTGAACATGAATTCGAGATTTTGTATTCGTATGTTCATGTCTTTTTTGTTTAATAATGAACTATATAAAAGACTTTCTATTTTTGTATTGTTTAGTACTTGTCACGCATTTTCTGAATGTCTGACACTTTTATTTGCTTTTGTTTTCTCAAATTTCACTTTCTATTTGGTGATCATATTTCAGCATACAAAAAAAAAATAAAATATAAATGTTTAATATAAGTTATATATTTATTGAAATTGACGAATAAAAATTGAAAAAAAAATTCTTTTACTTCATTCTGTTTCAAAATAGAAAAAAAATCAATGATTAAGATAATCATTACACTAATCGCTTCAATATATTGTCATTCAAAGTTTATTTACGGACTAAATCACTTCTGCTTTGCGAAGAAAGGAGGGGGGGGGGGGCGAGAGAGCAGACTATGTACGCTTTCTTTGTCATACTTTTTCTTCATACTGTTGTAGTTAGTTTCATTGGTGTATAGCGTCTAAATAAAAATGAATCAATATGAGAATGAAAGATATTTGACAGACTGACAATAAGAACAAAGTAGGCGGTCGACGTCAACTACATAGATATGTTGTCGTCTTCTCTTTCTTTGACGATTACAGGTAAAAATCTGTAAAAATAAAGGATTGAATGTAATTTCTCGCAAACACAGTCGTCGGAAAGAAAGAAAAAAACAAGAGAGAGAGAGAGAAAAAAAAAGGTGATCATGAAAATACCAAAACCTTCGAGACTCGGCATTCTCTTATTTTGTGCCATTGTGGTGCGTGTATTCTCTTTTTAAGACGCTAGTTCGTTCTATCTATTTCTTCTCTTCAACTGCTGGACAGTTTCGAAGACAATTATGTTGTCGTTGAGCGACTCTACTGCTGACCATATGTTCCATCAACGTAATGACAAGGTATGCTATGTTTTGTTTTAGTCAAGTAAAATCAATAAATTAAGTTTAACACCGTTTAGGGTTCATTATCGGATCCAATACCTGTTGTCAACTCTTTGAAAGAATGCAACAGTACACCATATAAACGACGAAAACAAACTAGTCAAGCTCTGGAAGCTCTAGGTCAACTTTTTATGGATTCATCTATTGATGATCTCGATAATAATAAACTCAATAAAAATGATATACTCAGTTTGACGTTGTCACGTCTGTTACGCCGTAAATATTGGTCATCTGATATTGCTGATAGTGAGTTGAATAGAATAAAAAAAACCATAATCAAATTTAACAATTCACATATTATAATTATAGGCAATGTTAAGTTAGCAGCCAGCATTCAAAGTTCATCAATTACAGATGATCTTAAAGGTTTTATTATTGTAGTCAATACAACTGGTAGAATTATTTTAATTAGTGATAATGTTGAATATTATTTACGTAAAAATGTTGTATGTAGAAATAATTTTTTTATTATATTTTTATTTTTATTTATTTGTGTATTTTTAAGCGATTACTTTATCCTCAATTAATAAGTATTTATGATTGTGTAAGTAAAAGTGATCATGACACCATCCGTCAAATGCTTTCAACGCTGACAATGGATGAAAAACGTGCTATTTGCACTTGGATATTACCACGAGGTAAACGTCCTAATCGATCAAATACAGAAACTAAAGTAAATTTAATTAATAAAACGAATTCTTTATTTAATAAAAAAAAAAAATTTTTTTGCTCCCTAGTCAATGCTGTTGACAGGTCATTTTTTCTTTATTGACAATGATGAAAGTAAAGAACCATTATTTGTGGCACGTTGTGAACAAATCCTTTCAAGTACACCTAATATTCCAACGAATAGTATGGGTTCAACAAGCACAACAACACTTCGATTTGTTCTTACTGATCAATTGAGTATCAATGAAATTTCATCAAAGTTTGTTTGATTTACTTTTATTCATCAAGAAAAATAAAAATATGCATTTCTTTTTTTAGTACGGAATTTTTATTAGGTTATAAGCCAAATGAATTAATCGATCAATCAATTCATCGAATTTTACCAGCAGAATGTTGGGATATAATAGAACAAACAAAACAAAATTGCCGTATGATTATTTTTTTAATAATAATTTAGTATAATTTTGATAGGTATTGTGTTTTTCTTTAGTTTCAGGTCCCCATTGTACATCAATGAGTGTACTTGATTTATTTACTCATAAGGGTGATCGTCTTACTTTTCTGTGCAATATGCATATGTTGATTGAAGGTCGACGTAAAAGAATTAAACTAGGTTTTCTAGCACAGCTTATTGAGTATGTTAAATATTTATTTTGCGTATCAAATAGAAATATTCTGTTTTTCTTTTAATTTAGTCCTCTCATGCGATATCAATGTCTTAGTTATGTTAATAAACAAAATGTTGAACGACGAAAGGCTTTTGTTCAACAAGAATCAATGTGTATGTCAAATATAATATTAAATAATTCAACAACAACCAACGTCTCAATGTGTTAGTAGTTCAATTCTTGATGGTTCTTATTTTTTTCAGTGTTGTATCTTTTTTTTCTTTTTATTCAAGCACCCAATGATCAATGTTTATCAATGAATGATATATCAAAATACAAACGTCAACGAATTAATTATGAAAATACGGAAAAAGAAAATTTTAGTTTTTTTGATCAACCTCAATACGTTGCACAGGTCCCTTTTGAAACAAATTTCAATAACAAATTCTTATCATCTGGAAAACAAGAAGTTGGTCATATCGATGAACTTTTTAATTGGCTTGATGAAGAAAATAACAAGTCAAACAATAGATTTTCAGTATTTAATACTGTTAATGATGTATTTAATATGGATAACATACCAGATTTTGGCCTTTTTACACCAACAATATCAGAAATAAACTTCTTTTAAAAAAACAAAAACATTTTCTTTTGTTTTTCATTTTTTTGTGCAGTTCGTTGATCGGCTGTCTGCTTATGTGTGTTTAGTATTTGTCCGTTAACTATCAAAATAACGTTGTTAATGATAGTGATTAATTGATGCAAGAGCTGGTTCTCATTGCATATTATAAACATTATTATTATCTTCATTGCATTACGCTTTTGCTGTATTCTCTTTTCTTTTCTTTTCGGTGCATGTTTAATTTATGAAAACATATTAAAAATTCCTATATTAATATTAAAATGCTTTTGGTCTTAAAATTATTCATTAATATGTATTTATTGTCATAAACTATGAAAAATGCCTGTTTATACCATCGAAAACTTTAGAAAAATAAGATTATCAACGCTCTAGGATAAAAATATATTGTCATCTTTATTCTTTTTCTCCTAAATTGCACCGATTGACTCTAATATATAGTGTAATAGGAGATGTATGTGACTTGCTGACATTAGTTTTCCCTTGTATTCAATTATTTTCTTTTAATCTGTTTTATAAAACAAAGTTGTTAATCACGCCTTGTCGTATTTCTTTCTGTTAAATGACATGCGCAATCCTAACGAGCGAGTTCTTGTTCAAATATGTTAAGCACGTCCTCGAGTTGACTAGGCATTCTTTTTTGTTTTAAATCGAAAACACGCAATATATCTTTTATAGCTCAATGATAATCGATTATTGAAAAGTAAAAATTGTGAATAATAAATTAATTTCTATTTTCTACATGAGAACTCGAACAAGACTATTGAATATGCCTGCTTGCGACAAGCACGTCAACTGAAGGTTTCATATAAACTACATATTAATACGTCTTTTTATTTTTCTAAAAATTGTCAGAAAAATATAATTCATCTTTTAAGTAGAAAATATAATTATCAACAGTGACAATCGAGTGTGTTTGTTGTTTAAAGGCAACAAATTATTTTTTAAAATTATTTTGGTTGAACATTATCCTCACTAATAATATATAATGAACAGATTATTCATAACTTATTTCTGTCATTTCATGTTTTGTTTTTATCTATTTTGATAAGTAACTGTAAAAAGTATATACTTTTTTGTTATCGTTATTTTATCAAACTGTTTGACTAATTCTCATTGCTCCTTAATTCATACTAATGTCGTCATACTAATTTAGAATATTTATACGTTCTTTTCAACCAGCGTGTTAAATCTACTAAAGACGCTCTTAGCAGAAACTTTATCTTTTTCTTAAATATAAATAGTTTAATAAATAATTACATGTCACACATAGTCACTCTATTTGAATTGACATAGTTCCTTTGTTTTCTTCTCAAGATAAACTTCTGTTTTCATACAATAATCATCTTAATGTTAGGATTGAACAAGTCTGTGAGTGTTTGTGTTTCTAACGTGGAGAAATCAAAGTAAACACGAAAATCTGTTGGTAAATTAAGACTCTTCTGTTCATACATGTGAACTTCCACTTTCACCCTTCACCGAAAACACAATAAGATTAATTAGTTTTACAAAATCTTCATCGTTTCAATCATTCAAGTTGTAATGCGTAGAGCATCATGAACAAGTCAAGATGTTACCCTACTTTTTCTTTTGTGGTAGTTTTCAACATAATTACTAAAGCTCATTCGATTAGAAACTTTTACTACCACAAAACTATTGAATTTGTTTTTAGAATTTGTTTTTTTCTTATCAACGATAATTGAAAAGATAAGTATGTACTCATCTATTCAACTGCAGTGTCTAAAGAAAAGAAAAAGAAAGATGAAACGTTATTGATAATGATTCTAATGACGTTTCACATATTCTAGAACGTTCTCTGTAAAATTCTTCATTTTTTAATAAGTTTTTCAGAATTTCAGAGAAAAACGTACAAGTGAAAAACCTCGAATGAACGAAAAAATTTCTTGTGCAGCAAATCTCTTCAATGGAAGTTTCTTAATTCAAAACAACCTGAAACTTTCCATCGTTCACCTTGACCGATACTATTTTATTTATAATTAAATTTTTATATCTGACGGCATGGAAATAAACGTGTAATAGACATAAGCTATGCCGTGAAGCAAAGGATATTTTAAAATGTATTGGACTTTGTATCGGAGCTATCACACCAGTAACCTGAAAAAGATTGTAGCAGGATAGAGAACATTAATTCTCGAACATTGGATACGAGATATTTTATTTTTAGCGCTGAACATGAAGAACACATAGTTTACGCTGATAACAAAAAAAATCCAAGTTAACTGAAAAGTCTCTATCGAATGACTCTAAAACTGAGTCTTTTGTGTGTTAGAAAGTGTGTTTGTTAATTTCGGATAATTTTCATCGAATAATGTACCAGTTTTTTGAAGATTTTCGCCTGGTTATTTCGAAAAATGCCGATGTGAAATTATTACAGCAAATTTCTCATTATATTGATACATCGAAGTGATTGCCCACTATTCTATCGTGCTTCTACAAGGAAGAAAAACTACTTTAAGTTCCAAGTATATCAATCAACGAGAATATATTGTGACTACTATGTAGATTATTTTTTGCAACAGATTTTGCAGCATGCTTCCATTGTTCTGCGTCGGCTCGATGGTTTGTTCCATTGAATTTGTTCCGTGATCACAATTTTGAAAGGGTACTCAGACTATTCGATGAAGGATATGTGAGTCTTGGAGTATCCTAGATGAGTATCAAAAGTGAGTGAGCATCAGAACAGCCACCTTCAGATGACTTGAATAATTTATATAATCATTTCAAAAACGAAGAGTATAAAATTTGGAATATGGTTGAAAAAATGCATTCACTAGTCAGACAAACCCTATGATCACCTTTCTTGGTGCAAGAAATGATCTGTAGCATTCATTTATTCCTGAAAAAAATAAATTCATTATAATGCTATTCTGCTCACAAGTTTGTTTAGAAAGCAACACAAATATTTTTCATTAAAACGTTTGCTAATTATTTAAATTGACTGGTTCAAGATGTTTTTATATGACTGTATTTAATACAGTGCGAAGCACAGCACTGCCATAGTCGGTCGCGTACGCATTCGAGCTCCATACGTTGCATTTTTTATATTGTAACAAAATTTGTACTCTGTGTCGTGATATTACAGACAAATACGAGTCACTAGAATTTCGTTCGAACTATGTCAAGTAGATTTAGATCTCGAGATGATACAAATGCTTGTGAGGCTTCAATATAAGTCTTCATTCATTTTCAATAAATTCATCAAAATAGTGATTTTGACAATTTAACTTCCATCTTTTGTCTGAGATAATTAGGATTCATGAGATAGTCGTTAGTCAGTTGTTGTAAGCAGGAGAAATAATGAAAACCTTCGACAAAACAGAATCGATTCGGGATAACATTGTTTATCGTTGTTATGCTAATTGAAACCTGATTGCCGAAGATTGAGATCGTTTCGCATTGCATTTATGCAGCCCTTTGCGAGTTTTCTTTTTCTTTTTTTACTTATTAAACATAAGCATTGTGGAAGGTAATGAGTTTGTAGGGAATCTTTTGTCTGTACGAAACGCTTGTATTTGAAATCAAAATCGATTGTATCTCTGTAGCTCTATACCTTTGTTGCGCTAGATATAACAAGAGTAAAAAAGTTGATTGTAGTCTCGGCAACGAAATGGATATGTATCTCACCAAACATGAATGTATAGAATGAAATTTACCGCGCGCTGATGCTACTGCTAGGACTGCAGTAAGTTTTTTACTCCTACTATTAATAGCATAACAAAGGTATGTAACTGATTTTGACTTCTAATATAAGAGTTTCCTACAAGAAAAAATCCTATAAATTCACACTATTAAAACAACTTTTACTGCCTTTGATACGTGAATAAGATAGTACAAGAACACCTATCCATGATTGGTGCAGACAGAGGAGACGAGTAAAACAATTTTCCCACATGAAATTTCTATTCTAAGAGAATATCTGGTGTAACGTGTACTACTCTTGCTAATATCATAACAAAAATTTCACGTTAGAATAGGCGCACAATAGTTTGCCAAAATCAGTCATTAAATGCATTCGGAAGACTGACAAAGGGTATGTTGTGATTGTATCATCAATAATAACTAAGTAGATCAATAGATTTTGAACGAAAACAATTTTATCGTTTGACATTATTAGTAAAACCTACGAGTAGCTTCTTTATCATTTTTCAGTATCTATAATAGTATCACACAAACGTATGTCGCTAATCACATGAACGTCTACCTTCTAGTGGCAAGTTTAATTTCATCATCGTCATCCATGCATTATGATTTACTAGAATATATGTGGTTAAGTTGATGTTCTCTTCTCTTCACTAATATTCTTGAATTCAAAAGAATCATCACTTAGAAATAAAGATTTCTTCGACAGATTGCAGTTAAGCGACCTCGAACAGATGCACGAGAAATGAATTCGTTTTTTTTTCGCTTTATCACGAAATATGAACAATTGTATTTCTTATTTACAATGAGTATGCACTTCTAACCCGAGAAAATGCCATTTTTATGTGTTTATATTTTAATGCATGATTTATTTTCTAATACGAAATGAAAATTGAAAAGTATTCTTATTTGAAAATTTACCATCATTTCAGAACAAATATAAATCATTTTGAATTCATTTTATTGATTGATTTTATATTTTGATCGTAGTAAAATGTAGATATTCCATCCAGAATACGATTGATATATTTGTAGATATAATGCAGGTCGAAACATTATATATGTTTATGCTAAAGTGATCAAATAAATTCAATGATATCGTACTAACACAGAAAGATTGATCGATATAGTGAATTATCAATTCACGATTAGTTTTCTTGTAACAAACATAAACATATCTTATAGTATGATATTTATCTCAAAAATTAATATTTAGTCAAGTTTAAGTGGCATGGCTAAATGAAATGTAGACAAGTAACTACTAATGATTATGAGTAATATTTTTCAAGATTCAATATGACTCGTCATTTTACAAAAATAGTGTGAAACAC